CTCCTAACAGGCAGCCGCGATCGGCGGTGTCCCTCTTCCCTATTTTCGTTCCGAGCGAAACGTCAGGCGCACGGGACCGCGCTCGGAAATCGACGCGTGCGAGTCCGTGGGACGTCGACGCCTCCACCCGGGATGATAGCCCGTGACTCGGGGAATAACACGGTGAAAACGAACCGGAGGACGCTTCAGGTGTTCGTGACGGCCGCCGCCGAGGAGGCCGCCGCCTCATTGGCCGACAGCCTGTAAACCGGGGGCTTGCGTTTTATCGGCGTCCGTTCGGAAGATCGCTGGAGATCTTTGACCGATTTCCAGCGGCGCGGGGATGGGAATTATGATTCGCGCGAGGATTTAGGGTACGTTTATGGCGGAGCTGCGATACTCGCCGATAACAGACGAATGTAGTTTTCTTTGAAGCGGAGCGTTTGCGATTCAGCGATGCGCAGAGGGGCCTGAAGTTAATTAAGATGTTTGTGGATGGTAACGTGGTACTGTTGTTTTTCATTTTTGGGGGAATATTGATAATGTTTCATGTGTTTTTTAATTCTTTTGTATAATTGTAACGTAGTCCTGTGTTATATTTAACTTTTTGAAATATTGGTAACGTAGTTCTATATTATTTTGAATATTTATGCTGAGTATTGGTAACATAGTCTTACGTCATTCTTAATTTTTTTCAGTTAATTACTATATCCTTTTCTATGTCATTGATAACATAGTTCTGTCGTATGCTTTTTGTATGCATACACATTTGAATAGCAGACCCTTGCGATATTCAGCTATAAATTTTGGAAAATTATAATGAACATCATAAGTTATGAACGCACTCTTAGAAACAAAACTTAGAAGCACAGTAACAAAATCTGTTTATTGTACTCTTTAGGCGACTAATGAGAAACGTTCTTATACACGTGCATATTGCATACAATTTGGAGTGGAATTTGGAATTTTTCAAATTAGAAACTCCCCTAAAAGAACAACCATATTGGAAAGAATACGAAAAACTTATCTTTTATCTGCAAATGTCCTTAGCTTCTCTTTTACTTCTTGTTTCCTAATTTTCTTCAAATACATACGCATGACTAAGTTTTCGGTTAATATACAAATCCGTGCATAAAATAATATTTATACTTAACACTAACATATTAAGTATATCACAACGAAACTGTACAGCTGTTCTTCCATTCAAAGTTTCAGAAGAATAAAGTCTTCTGTCGCTTGAAAGATTGAAGAAGATCATTGTCTGATTTTTAGTGGCCGTTGGAAAGTTACGATTCTCGTGAAGATCGAGAGATGCGGCGTTAGATTTTTTATTTCCCTTACACAGACTAGATATTCCAGATTTATTCCACATGATTCTGTTACCAGCGAGAAGAATCATAGCGAGGAACTGACGGTTGTCGCAATTTCTGCGTGAAAAAGGACGCGCCGATCCCATTTATTACATTCTCTTAATGCCCGGCGGAGAAAGTTCCGGTACACTTGCTGTGTGTATTGAACAAAATTTAATTTCTCAGCTTCGAAGCTGCTTTCTCATTTCGCTAAAGAACAGCGCAAACTCCCCCAGAAGGACAACTACGTTGCGAAGAATACGAAAAACTTGGTAGAAACTTATCTCCCATCTACAGATGTCCGTTTTCTCTTTCTCCACTTCTTTTTCTGTATTCTTCGAACATACATTGTTATGTTTTCACAAAAAATATTAGACATATGGATAAAGCAGAGATGAAACTAATGAAAATTACAGCACAATGGAGAAATACGTACTGTAATAAAAAAGAGTTTACTTTTCGATTTAAGGTTTCAGAAAAAATAAATATAAAATGACGGGAATCACAAAGGCAAAGTACAAAAAATATTATTATAGGTATGTTAATCAGCATGAACAATTATTTTACATACAAATTGAGTTAAACATTTTCTGAAGGTCACGTAAAATTTTTATATAAAAACTTTGTATTTTCAAAAGTTATTTTATTTTATTATGTAAAAGTGCTTGCTTTCACAAAACTCGTTATATCGCGGTTTACGTAAAGTTTCCAACAAAATACGGTAACTTTATAATTTAATATAATATTATTATAACTTTAGTATAAATTCAGTGCCGTAATTTTCTTACCTTTCTTATGTAATAATAATGAAAATTATAGAAAGATTACAGAAGACATTCGACCTTAAGGGATGTTAGAGAATTGTGATTCTCGCGACGACCGAAAGGAACTACCGCATTGTTGGATTCTTTATATCTATTCTAGGAGGCTGGACGTTCGAGATTTATGCGCAAGAATCACGGTGCGCGCTGAAAAATTAATGATTGTCGCGTTCTTGCGCGAAAGTAAAGACGCCAATCCCGTTTATTGCGAATTCTTGGTGTCCGGCGGTTGGATACTGTGCGCGCCGGAAATTGCGTGATGAGATTAAACGGGGTAATGTGGCCGCGAGACTACAAACGTACGGCATCAGTCAAAAGGTTGCGGTTAGGTTGCGCTGCGAATCTTTATACTGCTCCCGTCCGTTCGAATTACTCGGTGCAAGCAGAAACTGCACATGAATTTATTAATTTATTACCTTCGCGAATAAATTGAAGAATGAGATGATTTTGTGTTCAATTATATATTAGATTGTCCCAAAAGTTTCTTTCCTTCTGTTAATACATACTACACAATATTTTATCTATTAGCTTCCCCATTTTTGTTTGGAAAACTTGTACTGCCATCTTTTCAAAATTTCTAACAGACAATATTACGAACAGAACCTGATGGAAATACATGTGTATGTAGATATGGTACAATCTAATATTTGCAATGTTTTTTCTTCGTTATTCAGTTAGGAAAATCAAACTAACGTTTCGATATTAACACTTTGTTAAGTCATAATACCCGTGTAGTGTAAATCATATTGAATTGAAGTGTATAGCGAGTTATTCCTTTCTGAATATTTATTTTTGAAATATCAGTATTATTGAAAGATTTTAAATTATAGCTTCGTATTTATTTTTCTAATATTACTCGATTGACAGGAAAGTTAAAAGTCTTCTGCAAAGCTTAATTAGCATTTCATATTTATTTCATTTCAAATACCCCCTTGATCCTTTGTGATCAATTTTCGATAGGACGAATAAAAAATGCGACCCGTGTAATAGAATATTTAAAATTTAAGAGTCTCACTTGGAAAAAATGGGTACGAAAATATTTATGCATAACCTTTGTCTCCATACAACGTTTGTTATTTCATTGAAATGTAAATAAAAGTTGTACTCGACATCTTGAAATTTTTCATAGCACGGTGCGCATGCTGTAAAATACGCGTGTCGCCGTGAAGGCGCACTGAACACACATTACCCATGCATGAAAAAAACAAGAAATCCCTTTGTACGCTACGTAACCTTTTAAGGGACATATTCTGAGTGTTTCGTTCCTTGCTTCTCATTTTTTGTTAACTGCCCCTCTGTAACCGTGCAAGATAATCCATTACAAATGGAGGCAGACGACTCGAAAGAAAAAAAGAGAGTAACGCGCGGGAAAACTCGGTACAAAGTCGTAAAGCAATAAAGGCGAGAAGTGCAAGGGTTCGTGAGGGCCTAGTCGGCGAGCGTGCGCGAAGGGTAGCCAGGCCCAAGTAAAACCTTGGAAAGAAACAGGCGATGTTATGGTGGAAGTTAAGAGAAGTCACGAAGGTGGAAAAAAAGGGTGAACTGTAAAGAACAAATGAAAATGTAACGGTCAAAAAGTTATGACGGTGAAGATAATTTGAAGGGCAATTTGCAACATGAAACTGTGTTTCTTCTTTTCTGAAGTTTTTTATACAGTATGATGTATAATCATAATTTAATAAAGAAAATGGAGCAAGGAATGTAACGTATTTTAATTTCCTTTATATTGTATCAGTCGTAAATAGTATATATATATATATATACATCATATTTATGTAATAGTCATAAAAGGATTTTATGAAATTTTAATTTCAAACTCACCGTTATTTTCGATTACACTGTCGTGTTAGAAAATTGTTAGAAAATTATTTCAATATTGTTTCGGCAATATAACGCTAAACTGTTCACGGCAAAATGGACAGTAGGCAGCATTTCGGAATGTGGTTGAATATTTATTTATTATATGGTATATTGAAGTTTATTTAGATTGTTTCACTTTCATATTTAATTACGGAATAACAACCGGTGAAATGGGATAGCTTCGGCGTAAAATTGCCCATTAACAATGTTGTTAAAATTTCGACGTACGTCAATTTTTCAGGCGAATTCATTAAACAAACAATACGCCATTCAAAAAGCTATAACACGCTAATTATGTGAAGCAAGTATTGAGACATCCCATAAATAACGCAGTTTTTTATATTTCTTTTATTTTAATCAAAATAACTCATTCCTGATTTCTTTCTATTGCAATGATTAAAAACACAACAAATGTTTCTCAGAGAAATGATTAAAGAAATTGATTTAACAATATGCGAACTGAATTGTAAATGAATTACAGTTTCAATAGAGTTTCCATACAGAAATTTCGAAAAGTCAATACAACTGCTCGTTGGTTTCAGTGTTAAATAGTAAAGATACAAAACTTCTTAATGTGAAACATATTCTTCATTATTTATAAACCGTTTGTCTACACATAATTGCTTTAAAAACAGTTTCGTTTTTATTTCTTAAAAAAAAATATGAAACTGCATTATTCATGGGATGACCGAATAGTCCCACGCCGATCATTGCTGTCTATTATTTAATATGCAGTAAATATTTCCCGTGACACATACCTGGAAACGGCGGCCTGTGTATTTTTAATTCTCTTCAAAGTTCTGAAAGCGGAGCAGCGTTAGCACCCAGCAATCTAGCACAGTTTTCTTTCCCGGCATTTACCCGTACCGGAATCTGTCCACTGTCGTGCCGTTTTAAAATCTTCCAGCAGCTTTGTTCTGCCTGTCAGATCTCGTGACGCGACGACCTCGATATCTTAAAAACGGTTCATTATCGAGAAAAGGCCTGTCTTGTCGCCGATGCAGCGGCGTCGCGACACTTGAAATTAGCCGACGGGCCGACTTCGACGTTCCATGCCTCTTGGCTGATTCTTCAAGGCCGGCGATCGAACGAACCACCGAGGAATTCGACTGACAATCTCGACGCTGCTATTAACATGAAACCGGCGAGCTGTTAAATTCACTACTCTGTACTTTCTTGTACGAATTAAAACGTTCAATGAGATCGAAGGTCACTTGAAGCTTAGTTTACCTGTTAATGGATCAATTTATGCGACTGTTTCTCGGGAAAGTAAACATCTTTTTAGTAATCGAAAGAACGAAAATTATTTTGACCTATTTGACAGTTGAATGTCCTTTATGATTGATTTTATTATTAGGCTAAACCTGAGAAAGCTTTAATTTTAATCATTTCTGAATAGAAAAAGGAATTACAATTTATAAGTCTTTACAACTGGAAATATTTACAAAATTATTAATATCTTTTGATTTTCCGTAAAAATTTTACGGTGCAACAACTTAATTTCTTTGTATTGTTAAAATGAAAAATTCAGATTAAAAGATTCACTTTCATAAATTACGTAAGTGTATTCGTAAAATTTCGAATTTTATGAAAGTATCTACAAGAATAGTCGATTTCATCGGAAATATACTACTCACGCAGTTTAATTCATTATGTTGTATTGCATTCTAATTTACTTACAAATTTTAGTACCATTAATTTCGGAAACAAGTGTCAAAATTTATATTTCGTTGCCATTTTTATATGATTTAACCCCTTGTCCTATGCTTTCTTTTTCTTTCTCGGTACAACTACTTTGTTGATAGTTCATTGGAAAAAGAGAAAAATTCTAAACATATTCCACGTTTATATTTGCCTTCAAGTATAATAATTAATTACAGAAGAGTAATATTTACTTCAAATTCAAGTGAATTCCACGAGTCTGACATGTTAGAAAATATTACTGAGAATATAGTTTAGTGACGCAGGTTAACAGACAGTCCGTGCATCTCGTCGATTACCACAAACAATCAGTTCCACCGGTATTGTGCATTTTTCAAATCGCTTTTCCAGATCCGGAAAGAAAGTCGCTTTTACCAGCGCGACGTGTACACTCATGAAGTGGCAGTTGCGTATCTACAAAGGAGTCGCAGTTTTCCACGTAACGAGCCTTAGAGACGTTCATCTAGATTGCTTTTCTCTCCGTCCTTCGCGCAGCCGTATCCTCGGCGAATTGTTTAACGTTTACCAACCGACACCGCCGCGCCGGGACCGTTCCTTTATTTATTCGCGTCCGCGGTATGTGCCCGCGACGATTCCGTTTCGCGAGTTTCATCTAACAAAAGATGCGTCCTGTATACGCGGCCGCAACGCTCAGTCTTTGTGCAGGACTATTAACCGGTCCTGGTATCGCAATATCCGTGCTCATCCTTTCGAACCGCCGACAACGACACGCATTATGCGATTCGGTCGTTTAATTATTTGAATTGCGGATAAATTTATCTTTAACCGGCAACGTATTTTTAATTATGAAATGAAATACAGAATTTGTAATTGTGAGTGTTCTGAGTGTTATATTGCTTAATATACTGGCATGTAAATCTCATCAAAATTTGGCCATTTAATCATTTGAGATCAATTTTTTCTCTATAACAACATTTTCTTTTAAATGTACAAATAGAGTTTATAATTATAAATGTTTCAAGTGTTATACCATTTAAAATATTGGTGTATAGATATGATTGAAAATTTAGTTAGTTACCCATTTGAATTCTAGATAAATATTTTCTCATCAGCAAAATTTTGATATGTTTGAATTTTAAAAAGGAAATTTGTAATTAAAAATGTTCCAATTCGTACACTTTTTAACGTAGTGGGTTATCGATTTCATCGAAAATTTACTCATTTAATCCTTTGAGTTCTAGACAGTTTTTTCATTTTCAGGAAAATGTATTTTTTGTAATTAAAGTTTTGACAGATTTCTGTTTTCGAAAGTCATTTTTGGACACTTTTTTAATTCATATTTGGTAATCGGAAATATTTCAAAGGGGTAATTATTTTAAAGTGAACCCATTGCTAGTTAAATAAAGGAGGATAAGAGTTATTGCACGATAAAATTGAATACGAGTGACGAGTTAACTCGTCTTCTCCGGTTAACAGGTAAAACCGCGGGATACTTTAATAGATATTCAATTATTTCGTTGACGATCGAAGTTACGTGCTTACGTAGATCATGCAGTGAAATGTGAGTTGTTAGGGAACTGATATCCTTCGGCTCTAACAAAATTGATGAACGACAAGGAAACAGTTTGAACAGGTTAAGATTATATTAAAATTATATTTCTGGTTGCTGTGAACTATATATAATTTCTTCCGTAACGTTTACATCATGATAAAAATAAGAATTTGTGAAATAAGCGTGCATTGTAATTAATATCAATCCTATCCAATCAGAGATTACATTTTCTAAAGTTGTCTAGAACTAAATTGCAATTATAAGTGGTTCAGTATTTCGAAGTTTATAGACTGTAAATTTTTGTTTTCTATTTGTTTTATAACGCTGGATTTTAGTGTAGATGAAATGAAATTTAGTAATTACACTGTTCTTTGTTCATTCTTTATTAATTATTCTGTATGAATTCAAAGTCATCAAAAAATATTTTTAAGGAATTAAGAAATTTAACAAAATTCGTATAATAAATTGATTAGAATCATACTTGACTAAAATCATGGATTCTCAACTTCAAGTATTACGAGTAAAAGTAGGAATTCATTTCCTATTAATATTTTAATAATTTTAAACATGAATAGCGATCGATAGACTTCGGGTCTTTATGCAAATATAGATTCCTACGTAGTAATTCAGAGAGATTGGATTCAAAGGAAAATTTTCATACTTTATTAAGAATACTATTAGACTTCAAATGAAATAAAAAGTTCATTAAAGTTCATCGAACTTCGAAGTACATAGAATTCTAGAAAATTGTGTACGCTATAGTTGCGTAAGATTCACTACCCGGTGATCACCCATTCATCTCCCACCCCTTTAACAATTTCAGTCGAAAAATTTGAAAGAAAAAGAGAATTGTCCAGTGCATTCGAAGCCACTCGAAATATTTGATTTCCAATAAAATTCTACGTAATAATTGTCAAATTGAAAAGCAACAAGTATTTATTGAAAATAAAGAATTAAATTCCTTTGCTCTGATTCCAATCTTGTGTTTCACCTTTAAGATACGTATTTGTAACAATTGTTCTCTATTTTCTTTTGAATTTACACATCACCGAAATATTCAATCTTTGATTCTAATCACGAAAATGTAGTCAATAATAATAAAAATTCGAGAACATCGAACATTTTTTTATTGACTTTATTGTATTAAGATATTGTCTATCGCTTTCGACAAGTCTAAAAAATTATAATTACTTCAGTTTGAATATAGATAACAAGTGAATGCAAAGTGTAAACGTCAACTGAGTATAAAATTTGTTTAATGATTTTATTAAACGTAAAACGAAGAGCAAGATTTTACTGCATAACGAAAACTTAACTCCAGGGTGGTATTTTTAAAGATAATGTGATCCCCTCTTTGCATACGGTAATTGAAAAATATATGTTACATACCCCTTCCGAGAGATAATACATTATCCAGTAAAAGCAACCCCGTTTGATACAGAGCAAGTGCTGCTTAAAGTATCATGTTAGATGATATCTGAATATCCGCGTGTGCATACGTATAAGTGTACTGCAACGCGTGTACGGAGTATTGTAATTAATGGCATAATGTAAATATAGGACATTTCACGTATAAAATGAACTAAAAGGATTTGAGTACCGTTTTTTTATATGGAGCTTCATTTTTTAAAAATTCGAAACGAGAAATTAATTGGGCGCTTGGGCGCTTGGATATCTTTTTACTCACTTTTCTGTTCACTTATGGGTACCTCTCTTTAGCTCTTGCTTCTAAAAATTAAAATCAATTATCCTGAATAATTCAATTATTAACAGTGCAAAAATAAAATATGAAAATAGTATTCGAAAGTGAATGAATTAGATTGTATTTTCTAGAAAGAACTTGAAAAAAACGATTGAATATTATAACGGAATTTTTATTATATTTTTACTTTTTTAAATTTCGTTATAATATTCTATATAATTTACTCACTTTCGAATGCTGTTTTCATATTTTATTTTTGCACTATTAATAATTAAATTCTTCAGGATAATTGATTTTAATTTTAAACGGAGAAATATAACTTCTCAGAAACTTATAATATTATCCGAAGCCAGTTCTTATTATTATCATTCTTTTACATACTATCACATGGTATTTAACGTTATTATTAATGCAATAACGATACTTCCTTCCAGTACTGCATGGACATCGACGAAGGAAATATTAAAAGAATATTTTCTCTTTACTTATCTCAATTTTTACAATATTTCATTATGCGCGTACGTTTGTTATTTTATTTTCAGTAGCAAAATACACTTGCATAGAATAGAATAAATTAATGTCGAATTATTATTAGTATCTCAAGGATACAGGTGAGTTTATCGCGGCGAAATGGATGACTTCCTCCTCGGATGCTAAGGACCAGACAGTAACGTTACTTTGTTCCCCATGATAGAGTTGACTCAGGGTGATAAAATGATAGGTCAATTTCGAAACGGCGCGCGTGTCACGCTTTACGGCCTCCATTCATTTTATCACGGCATTTAACCTGTCATGACACGCAACACCTTACCCCTTCAACTGCACCTTCGGTGTATACCGTGGAACGCATTAACCTGATATCAAAGAATCGGTTTTTTATCCCAAAGAGGTAATTCGTTTTGTCGAGTGTCCATAAACCTTGGATAACTGCTAACAATAATTACCCAAGGGAATGCGACGACATTGGTGG